GATTTAAATTTTAAAAAATCATGATTTAAATTTAAAAAATCGATTTTTTTTATTTTTATGAAAAAAAAAAAAAAAATCACCAACCCTGAGTACAAATATTGATTTATTTTCATTCCGGTTACCATGTACGTAGATACCGAGACTAGGTGCCCGGTTACCGGGTACGTAGATACTGAGACTAGGTGCCCGTTTACCGAGTACGTAGAAACTGAGACTACGTGCCCGGTTACCGAGTACATAGACAGTCCGTTTGCTGAATGCTGTTTATTTGTCAGCATCACTGAAACACTGATATCATGTACAAAACTTTTGTAAATAAAAAATAATTAATTAATTAAATGCACATAGGTGAGGCATCATGGTGAAATCAGACTCTTTGCAAGGATGGTTTCAATTCAAAGATTTCAAAACTAAAACAATTTCATTACTCCAATATTTACACAAGAAGTTGAAGCTACAGAGAGCACCCAGCACACCTCTTTGATTGGTCCAAATATAGATGAGTTATTTTCACTATCTATTTCTCTATTCCTTTGTTCATGTGCATGTGCATGTGTTTGTGTGTGTATACGGATGTATGTTCATCTATGTGAGTGCTTGAGAATTTATTATAATGTACTGAGAGTGTCTGGAATACCAAAAAATGTATTCCAATTGTATATTTGTTAAACAAAATGACAATAAAGAAAATTACTAATATGATGATTAAATTAAAGAAAAATAAAGGATGAGTGATAGATCTGGTCAACTTGTGAGGGAAACTCCGGAAGACAACAAAAATAGATGGCTGAAATACGTCATCTATATTTTGGCTGAACACAGAGTACTAAGACAAAAATAGATGACAGAAATATAATATGTGAGGCAGCGTGGTGGAATCAGGCTCTCGTCAATTTTTGGGCATGTAGAGTTATTGGTGTCACCTTAAAGCTTGTTCACTTTTCTTTATTTCAATGAAAAAATATCCATTTATCTTAAATACAAGTCGAGATATTTGCCAATGAAGGAGGTGGGGTCACCTGTTTTCAGAGGTAAAATTAGTGAGAAAATGGCCACCAAAGATTAGTTATTTCCTTAGCTTAAGAGTCCGTTGTAACTGAAAATTAACATTTTTTGTGCCTTTAATCAACGTTCTTTAAAAAAATCCACACAGAAATGAGTTCTTTAATGGGCATGAAAGGTGTCGAGACAAAAAACAAAAATTTGATAAAAATTCACAACCCTGCCGAAAAATGCAAGTTTCTTCACTTTGATTATTTTGACGAGAGCCTGATTCCACCACGCTGCCTGACATATGTCATCTATATTTTGGCCAATCACAGAGTCTAGGTGTTCTGTAACTTCATGTAATATTTATTATGTTGCTATTATAATAAAGGCTGGGAAACTCAGAAACAAAAAACACCACCATAACAACCTCCTTTGACCGTATTCAGATTTAAGATTATAGGCCAGCTCTATTCGGACTCGAGTGCAATTAGATTTTTTATCTTTTCGGACTCGAATCCGAATATGGGTTTTATCTATTCGGACACGGGTCCGAAAAAAATGTTTTATTTATTCGGACTCAGCTTATTATGTGAGCAAGGAGGTTACACAGTATAACTGTCGTTGCGGGATTTTACGTAAAACAAGAATAAGAACTAAAATTACCTACGAGGAATGTGTGATTGTGTCAAAAGTCAAAGGACTGCACTCTCATTGCCCAATGGCAGTGTCTAAGTACACACTGACAACTCAGGGTCTTTCCACCACCACTACGGTACAGTATAGCACCATATCATTACTTCCACCACCATTTGTCTTTCCACATCTTTAATTTCATTTTGTTGTGTGTTTTGAGGGTGCGGTGGCGGAGCGGTTAGTGCGCTTGTCTCCGAAGTGGAAAGTCCGGGTTCGAGCCTCGGTTCGGACACAGGTTTTTTCCGCCCCCTCCTGCCCACCAAGCAGTGGTACCTGATTTTGAGATGGGGAAGTAAAGGCGGCATGGAAAAGAACTGGCCATCCTACCACATTATGCTGAAGGCCCAGGAAGTTGTCTCACTAACAAGGCAATCCCCAATGTCCAGATCCGATGCGGGAACAACTTTACTTTTTTAAAACTTTCACTTGATACCTAAAATTTAATAAAGTGACTATTCGGACTCGAGTCCGAATAGAGAAAAGTTATATTCGGACTCTGAATTGAGTCAAGCATGACGTCCGTTCCGACTTCCGACCCTTGCTCCTAAATATTTTCAGCATTTACGAACATTTTTTCTATTATAATGATAATAGTCCAGACCTGAGCTTTAATTATAAAAGAAAAGAACATTACAGAAAAACTAAAACACACAACAAAATGAAATTAAAAATATATAAAATGGAAAAGACAAATGGTGGTGGAAGTAATGATGATGCTGTAGTGGTGGAGATTAGACCCTCAGTTGTCGGTTACCGGGTACTTAAATACTGCCATTGGGTAGATCTAATTTTAATGAGAGTAGTCTTTAGACTTTTAACACAATTACACAATCCTAGTAGGTAATTCTAGTTCTAATTTTGGTTTTAAGTAAGGGAGTGATTATTCTCACCCGCGGTGGGGATAAACTGGATATTATTCTCACCCGGGGTGAGAATAAAATTGATACTATTCTCACCCCGGGTGAGAATAACAACAGCCTACTATTCTCATCCAGTTTTTTCGTTTCTGGCATCATAGGACCCCTGTCACTGAGCGCTCCCTCTCTCACTCTGCTGAGCCCACGAGGCGCGAGGCGACTAAAATCGCCAATGGGCGGGCCATCACTCGAGCGCAGGAGGCGACTATTGTTAGATTGGGGGAAAACCTTATCTTTTGACCAAATAGCGTCTTCTTTTGTTGATACAGTATTAATGTATTGGTACTGTAAGTAACGGAAAATTTTACTCTTGAATGGTTTAACAAATCAAAATTAAGAAAAAAAATAAGCCTAGGGTCAAGGCATTGCGTTCCTTAAAAATAATCGTGGGTTCTGCTAGGGATAACAATTAAACTTTTTTTGTGTGTTGTAAACAAAAATGAATCCCAATTCTAACATTATAGTGACAAACTATTACTAACATTATTTCATTAAACAGCTTTTAGTTAAGGCTATTATTTTAAAAAACATACTACTCTGGCAAGTGAATTCCTTTCTGAATTTAGAAACACTTGTCAAGGGTTTTGGTGAAGAAATCCAGATATGCGTACATACTCTCAACTCAAGATTTTTAAAAATGAAACAATAACAATCCCCGCGGGAGCCTAGAAAAATCAGCCAGCGCTCTGGGGCAGGTCACGAACGGTCACTCTCTTATAATTCACAATTTATTTTCTATCATCCATTCCCAACACCTGGGTAGGCCTAAAAATCCATTGCATTT